CCCCCCCCCCCCCCCCCCCGCCCGGAATTACGCGCTTGGAAATCGATTTTTGTCAATGTGAAGCGCATTGTTTCTAGAATACGGTCATATGATTTTCCCGCAAATTTTCCAGGTACATGCCGAAGCACAACAAAATAAAAAAATAGGGTTGTTCTTGCATTAATCATTCCCGTTGCTGCTCCCGCTGCTGGCGGAACGCTTGTTCGTAAATCTTATTCATCGCGGTGTATGTGTTACATGGTATGTGGACCACAATTTTTTCTCAATCCCCGGGGGGGGGGGTATTCTCCCCCCGGGGTAGATCGGTTTTCACTAAAAATACCAACACCCCCGCTACTTTGATTACCCACCGGGTGGGGGGTTGTGATTTCAGAAAATTGGATCCTCTCCTCTGGGGAAAATGAAAGCAACTTACGATACTCATCCCTGAACTTGCCCTGAACCTCCTTCGCTACCGTCCGTTCAGGGGGACATGGGCGTGGGCGTCGGTACTCGCTTTCACACCGGTAGTTGGGAGGGAAGCGGAGGGGGGTATGAGACCATTTTTAAGGTGAATTTGGATGACGAGTTCTTGACGGCGTCATACGACGTCCACATGGACGGGGAGACGACAGAAAAAACCTTCCCCTCGAAGCAAGTTGAGGACGCCGTATGGTATGCTAAAAGACTTCACCAGAGGGCACCATCCGGGGGGGGAGAGAAGGACTCTAAGCAAGCGGGCGGTGGGTCAAGCGGGGGAAAACAATGCAAGGGTGGGGATGCTTCTGGACCTCACGGTAGTCCGGGAGTGGATGGCACGACGAATAATGAACGGAACTCCGAACGGGATGAGGGGTCCGATAAAGAAGGTAGTGGGAATGGTGGCGGCGACAACAAACGGAAGCATGGGTCGGCGGGGGATGGGAAGCGGAAGCGGCGGTCGGCGGGCCGCAGGGAGCAGTCGGGAGCGGGCGATGGGACGGGCGAAGGAGGGGGTGGGCGTGGTCCCGGTTGGGAAGATGACCCGGACAAGGAAGATGACCCGGATAAGGACCCAAGCTCGGGGGACGACGAAAACAAGGAGAAGGTGAGCGGTACTTATACCGTCCTGTCTGTGTCTTGCTCGGATGGCAACAGCAGAAACGGCGTTTTCTTTTCTGGTGGTGCCCGGAACCAAGGGGAAAAAAGAGAGACAAGGGAAAACCCCGACAATCTACAGTAAAGTATGCCCTCCTGTCAAGTTCTGAGATCCTGTATAGTAGTTGTGCGATTACGGTTTTTCCTACCATATATGTTGGTGTTCGGGTCGCCAAAGGTCCGCAACCCCGATTAGCTTGCGACTTTGTGCAACAGATGCGCAGAGAGAGTCATATTCATGACAGAAGTAATGACAGCAGCCTGCTATGGTCGCCGCATGGATAAAGGAAAAGGGAACGGAAAAGAAGAAAGGTTCTACAGAAATTTTTCCGCGTTCCGGCGCGTGTTGTATGTGTTTGACTCGACGTTCACGACCCCGACGCCGATTCATTCGCAAGGTTCAGCCGAGTGAGAGAGGTAGAGAGAGAGAGAGAGAGAGAGAGAGAGAGAGAGA